CGAGGGGAGAAGATCTTGTCCATCTTGAAGTCCGACGAGCCGATCTCGCGCCGGAGCTGCTGGCGCTCGTCCGAATAGAGCGAGCATTCGAGGATGTAGTGCTGGCGGGTCTCCACCGCCTCGCCGCACTCGCAGAGTCCAGTCCCAAGACCCATCCGCGCCTTCGACGATCCCAAGTTATTGAAGTCGAGCCGAAGCCGGGCGAGGAGGGTGGAGTGAGTTCTGTTGAGGGAGTGTAGGGCGCGTACGAAGGGTGGGCCTGGCGGGCGAGCGTCGACAGCGCGAAGTCCGGCGCCCGGCGATGAAGAGAGTGACCAGCGACGAGTCCACTCCGCGAACAGCGCGGCGCGGTGGGCCTGCTTGAGCGATGATAGCGATTTCGGCAGCAGGATGCCTCCTTTGACGAGCCCATCGGGGCCCGCGAGCGTCGACGAGTCGAGTCGACCGAGGCGAGCGACTTCGCGCTCGAGGCGCGTCGCCCGCTCCTCCTCATCCTCCTCCCACCCGCTCTCGTCCGCTGACGATGAGCTGCCGCTGCTCCGGTCTGGCCTGAACAGCTTAGGACCCCGCCTGCGCCCGCCGCGCCCGCTCGCAAGTCCCCTCTTCGACTTCCCCACCTCGTCATTGCCAGCTTCCGCCGCCCTCTTCGCCTCTTCGTCCGCCAACTCGTTCCCCGGCACCGCAGAATGGCCGGCGAGCCACTGGAGGGTGAGTTGGGTGGTTGGGTGGTCGCACTTGAGCGCCAGGGCAAGGGTGCGCAGAGCGAGTCGAGCGTATTGTCCGGCTGTGGGGGATGGGTCGAACGGCGAGCGGACAACGGATTGGTTGTCGATGAAGAGGGTGGCTGAGGGCGCTGGAGTGGTGCTGAGGGCCTGCTGGGTGCCGTCCAGTGCAAGACGCGCACCCTCCAACTCCGCTGCGTAGACCGACTGGTACTGACCCATCGTCCTTGCCTTCTTCCCCCACAGCTCATCCTCTCCCGCGCCGAAGCGCACCACCGCCGACGCGCCTGCTTGACCGTCGAGCAGCGAGCCGTCCAAGTACGTCGCCAAGCCGCCTGCGTCGTCGAGTGCGCGGACTTCCCGACTGTGCGCCTCGACCGATGCCTCCTTCGACACGTCGACAACCAGC